TCCCAGATCAGTATGAAGTCCCAGCCACGGTGCCCATACACATCTAGATGTGTATAAGAGACAGGTGTGTGTGTGTGTGTGTGTGTGTGTGTCTCTCTCTCTCTCTGTGACGCATACTCATCTGAAGATGAGCAATGCGCAGGTCCGAAGGAGCACCAGTGTGATGAATAGGACTCAGAACAAACAATGCGAACCACAAATAAGCAATGCGCATCAGAAAAGAAACGATATAGTAGTGTCCTTCGGGACATCCGTTAAAATTGGAACGATACAGAGAAGATCAGCATGGCCCCTGCACAAGGATGACACTCGTAAATCGAGAAATGGTCCAAATTAAAAAAGAAAAAGAAAAAAAGAAACAATATAGTAGCAGAAACATACGAGGCGCTCATTCTCCTGGGTACCCTGATGAGGGCCAACAGATTGCAGCCGGAGAATCAGCTGGCAATGGAAACTGTGAGAGCAGCACTAATATGGACCATCTGGACCCCGAGAAATGAGTGATGCAGATAGGGTACGGCCCCCACCCTGCAGGCATACCAGGGGCGAGCGATGGAAAACATTCGAGTGGCCATTCAGGCAGACTTCCATCGGTGTGACCGAGCAGGAGAAGGAAAGGGCCGCTTTTGGAGGAGATGGAACCCCTGTCCATAGCTGCTGGTGCCGGACCCCCAGTCGGGCCGAGTCTCGCTCGGGCCTCTGTTGCTGCGACGAACATGTCAAGCGGAGACCGCCGTGTAACGTAGAGGTTGGGAAGTTAGTAGGAATGGACGAGGATAGGATAGAATAAGCTTTAGGGTAGGCATACAACGAGAGGGATGAGGATAGGATAGGATAGGATAGGAAGAAAGTAGGGGTGGGTGTACAAGTATGCGAGGGGAGGGAGACAAAGCTGTAATGAAAAAGCCGGGGTACTATACACAGACTGTAAGGAACCATGGGAGCATGAGGCATACGATATATATTGTAGTTTGTAAAGTATCTGGATGTGAAGCAAACGGTACGGGAATAGTGAGTACCGACGAGTACAAGGTAGGGACAATGACTGAGAAATGGATATTCAGTTAAAAAGTTTGGACATAGACCGGCCGGCGGGGCCACCAGGCGGCTCTCCCCCGCGCCCCACCATTTACAGCATTCACATGCTGTGTGTCTGGGTGCTACCAGTAAGCTTCCCAGCCAGCAAGTGCACCCTGCAAATGAGTCATGCTTCGGGGGGGGAGCGGCCGAAGCAACCCCCCCGTTGTGTAAGCGTCTAGAGCTGCAAGAGTGGCTGTATCTGATTCTCGTCTGATCTACTCTTTCTTCTGCCTCTCATGTACTTTTGGCTTGCCGGGGATGAGCAACCGGACTGATGCCCCCCAATATAGTCACTGCCTGCTCTCTCTCTCTCTCTCTCTCTCTCTCTCTCTCTCTCTCTCTCTCTCTCTCTCTCTCTCTCTCTCTCTCTCTTCAGTTTATCCGTCATTTCAGGAGTGTCAGTTCTGTGAACACCAAGGTGTTAACGATCATCGGCACATTACACAGAATGGTGGCAAACACGTACGACATACGTGATTCACCCGCCGTAATGAAATTATATTGTATGGAACTCAAACTGTTGGGATACCCGTGGAAGACAGCCCGTTCAGCGAATCTAGCCTTTCTCAGAAACTGTAAAGACAACAGGGGTGCATAAAGTCTTCCTCAATTTTCTGGACATGGAGGACAGAAAGAATTGGCAAATGAAAGGTACGTAGCAAGCAGATAAAAATGAATCGAAGTATAAAATGGTTATTATTAAAACCGCTTCGAATTTCTGCTGAAATATAATTCAACATGATAACCTTCGCCCGAACAAAATTCCTCAAAATAACCCAAACAACAAGACACTCAAGAATCACACATATAAAATCATACGCAAAAAAAAAAACAGGAGATATAATCACATAACAGTCACACCGAAATAAATTAAAGAAGGGTGCATTGCATGTCACTGAACCGTACCGACCAAAACCCATAAAATCTCAATCGTTTTTCCATCAAAATGAACTCATGATATTCCATTCGCCGAATTCAAACGACTCATCTTGCCCTACTTCTCAAACACCCAGGGCCACTAAAGGAGAGGCATACCAAGTTTGATACAAGGACACAACATGAATTCCGAGACCCTAATTCAAGGACACAACATGGAAGGGAACCAGAGACATTACCTGGATGCTTCATCGGATGTAAGGACAGAGCCCTTTGTCGACGCAGAGAATTTTCGGACACATCGCGACCAAGGAAACATCAGGACTGTAAGATTGATCAACGGCGACAAGCATATGATGATATGAGGAGACTGCAGGAACTGGGGTTCAACCGGACAGAGAAGTATTTGGGCCAAGGTTATACATACTGGGGACAATGGCTGGAATGATTACCTGAGCAGAGAGGTGGAAGGGTAATCGTGACAGTATCTGTCGCATGCCATGGACAGGACATGTATTCTGTGAATTTAAAGCCTCGCACGTGTTGTCCAATATTGCAACTCTCTCTCTCTCTCTCTCTCTCTCTCTCTCTCTCTCTCTCTCTCTCTCTCTCTCTCTCTGTGTGTGTGTGTGTTGTCATATTCGCTATACACTCAAAACTGTGCCAGACTGTTTTGTCGGACTTTCTGTGTGTGTGTGTGTGTGTGTGTGTGTGTGTGTGTGTGTTTGTGTGTAAAGAAGAGGAAGGAGGAGAAGAAGAACAGTGGATATGGAGGGACAGAGGAGAAGAAGGAGAAGAAGGATAAGAAGGAGAAGAAGAACTCTCCTCTCTCACGCTCTCCTGATGATGATGCCACGAATACAGACCAGCGAAGGCGACGAGTCCTGACTCAGGTCGCTGCTGAAGGCCGGTCCCAGATCAGTATGAAGTCCCAGCCACGGTGCCCAGGTGAGTCTCTTTATCTCTCATGGTGATGATCACCGCCAACCTCTCCACTCCAGCCTACTCCCCTACTCCTCTATCACTGCTACTCTACCGCAGTTCCCCCAAACTAGTGCTGCTCGAGCAGCATGACGCCCAACTGAGGCTCCAGCCAGAATGTCCTCAAAGTGGACTGGCCCAGCTATATACCACTGGGGCTGGCTGAGCAGCCCTCTGTCCACGATCTGGGCCGTCAGATCTGGTGTCCAATCGAGGGTCCTGATGGCAGGCCCAGGTCCTGGTTCTGTGATCCTGGCCAAGAACGGCCTGCCTGCCTGGGTCCCTACCGTACGTCCATGCAGCCCTGCTGATGCAGCAGGGTCCTGAGGACTGGCCCAGCGTCCCAAACAGACGAATGCCTTGTCCAGTCCCAGATACAGACAAATCTGAACCTGGCCTACTACTACGGCCGAATCTGAAACCCACTGGTCCAAACAGGCATCTATCTGCCTGTTTGGACAAAAAGTGAAAAGTCCGAAACGACACATCTGGAACAGACAAAAATAGTCGAAACAAAGCTCAGCCCCAAACTCACGCAGCAAAAATAAATGAGTGAGTAAATGCTGTGAATGGGTACTAAAGATATGAGCCTACTAGGCCTAAAACGTGGTTGTGGCCCACCAAGTCGCCCAGCCAAAGAAGCCGTGCGGCCTGCGGGCCTAGAAGGAAAATGTCGGCCCTGAAGGCCCGTGTAGGAAGCCTCTACGATGCTCCCCCCCCCTCCTCTTTCCTTGAGACGGCGAAGCTGTACATGCACCCCGGGGGGGGAACGGAGACAGCCCCCAAAGTTGTCCAGTAACCGTGGCACATGAGAGGGGGGGGGGGGGAAACAACAACAACAACAACAACAACAACAACAACAACACGAATTTGCAGGTGAAGAATTGGTCGCCACGATGAAGTGAACCGCGAACGTCCCAAGGGTCCGATAACGAATTTGTAGGTGAAGAATTGGTCGTGTAACCGAGGGCCAGGTCCCACTAGCAGCGTCGAGAGTTTCCTCAACGCCTGAATCTGGTCGTGTCTGTGGATATGTGCAGAAATGGCGTTGAGTTTTCTCAACCGCACATCTCCACGAACGACGTCCAGATTCAGACGTTGAGGAAACTCAACGCTGCTAGTGGGACCTGGGCCCGAGCCATGAGAGGGTCCCCGATAATGAATCCGTTGGCCCAAAGTCGGTCACTGCGGCGAAGTGAAACGACACAAAGGCACTCATTAGGAGACGCTGCTGTGAAGGTTGAAGACCAGAGCCGGATGTCCACTAAGGCGGAAACTCTACTGGTCAAGGATAAATATGATGGCGTCGCTGATTCGTTTCTCTAAACGAGCAGATTTTTTTGGAGCCATTACTGCTTACCTTGAGATGGGAGTGGACTTGCAGCAGCGTATTCGAGAGAGGCCTACCAAACTCATCCATACTATAGGGAGGAGATCATGCAAGTGCAAGGCGTACTGAAGTGCAGGGACCATTCCAATTTTTATTTTTATTTTTATTTTTATTTTTTTATTTTTATTTTTTTATTTTTATTTTTATTTTTATTTTTATTTTTTATTTTTTTTAAACACGGTCCACTATTTCCAGGGGTGAAGTCCCACCGCCCAAGTTTAAGTTTAGAAAACGTAACGTGTGACACCATTTTGACATTAATAAATTCGAAACAAGAAATTAAAAAACTGAAAAAAATCRCTAGAAACAGCTTTTCTCTTTATTTTTTATTAAGTAACTCGGAGGAATGAAACACGTCTGGCACAGTCGGAGTGAATGTCTCCGTGGAAAAGGGAACTTCCCGTGGTGAGGGGACAGGAGGTCACCATTCATAAAATGGACAGGGACAACATAGATGGTCAGATGCGTTCATTGCCCAAAGAAGGAAGAGAGTTTGATGCGAGAGAGCCAAACAGAGGTGTCGGAGCTCCTCCGTTTCAGGGTGTAATGACGTCTTAAAAAAAAAAAAAAACGAAAGGCGAATAAGTTGAGAAATGTACCCTACCCTCTGTAGGGTAGTTTTCTCAACGGAAAATGGTTTCCTGCCCAAACGGAAAGGGCCAAAGCATACGACAAAACGGATTTCACGTCAACGAAAAAATGTACAAAACGACCAAATCTAATAGGTTATTCTCCTGTATTTTGGTACCCTTAGATTCTCAATACATCAACGGCAGAGCTCCGTCCCACCATGCCACCCGTGATACAAAGCTCAGCGTTGAGAAAACTCAACTTCGGCGGTGGGACTTCACTCCAGAACAAAGAGTTGAGGCCGGGGACCTCACAATTCAACCCGGAGTTATCCTGGCAGCCTCTCAGCCAGTTTCGCTTACGGTTCGGCAGAACCAGAACCAATTACATTGCCAAAATTCGTGATTCCCGGCCTCGGTCCCATATTATTGGTAATAAATATTAAATGCTTTCCAACTAGGCTACCAGAGTGGCCCAGGTCCACTTGCCCGGCCAGGCAAAAAATAAAATAAAATACATATATATATATATATATATATATATATTAAAAAAAAAATCTATTTCAAATTTGGTAAAGAATTTCGATGTGATCCTGAGGCAAAAGTTGTTCAGTTTATTTTTCTGCATAACATAGTTTTTTTTTTCTGTGGGACCTTCCCGGTACTTGCACGTTTGCCGCCCGGGAAAATAGGGTGACCCGGGCGGCCCGGCTGGTAGCCTAGCTTTCCCAAAAAAAAAAAAAAAAAAAAAAAATCGTGATTCGGACTGATTCCCCTATTCTGTTCCTTAATGAAAACTACTGTCCCTTAATGAAAACTACTGTTCCTCTACAATCCGCTCCTTCCTATCCGTTGTCACATTGCACTAAACTACTTAACAGCCTAAAGCGGGTAATTTGTATTATCGTTCGATAACTTTTCATTAATTTCCCAATGTGGGACAAAACTCACAACAGTCCATAAAACTTCCTTTGTCTAGACTGACACAGCGGATCAACTTCTGCATGTCATCATCGTTATCCTTAACAGTGCAGGGGCGCGAAAACTTCCACAGTTCATGAAATTCCTTCGTTCAGATTGACCAGCGGGTCGATTTCTCCCATTTAATTTTTTCGCATACCGAGCAATTTGGGACAAAACTCGCATATGCCATGAAACTTCGTCTATAGAGTGACCAGCAGCAGCGGCCACCTCATTCCTTCCAACAATCCTGAGTGTTCTTTTTTTTTTTTTTTCTTTTTCCCTGAGTGTTATTTGTACGAGAAAAAGAGAGAGGAAACGAAAAGAGAAAGGCAGTCCGTTCTTTTAACCTTATACCAAGAGAAAAAGACAGAACGAACATCAGTAGGTTCTACGGTTCTATTCAGAATCAGCACCGGCCAACGACGCCAATGCTTCTTCTTAGCGAGAGAGTTTTTGCTTCCCTTCTCCCCTTCCCCCCCCCCCCAACCCCAACCCCCCCACCCACCCACGCTTTTTCGTACGAGTAACAGCAACCTCTTTCACCTTTCACTTTCAACGGCAATAACTGAGACGATCAGATCCACACGTTCATCGAACGGTCAGCAAACGAGGTCACTGACCGTCGAGATGACCGTTTGCCGTGATCGTCCGAGGTGATCGTTTGCGGTGATCGTCGAAGGTTCTGGTGAAAGTTCTGGTGAAAGTTCGGCGGTAAACGTTTGGTGAGCGTTTGAGATGACCATCCAAACGGATCGTGTCCGTTAACTCGTCGATGGCATATACGAGCAACGCTAGGGGACACCAGTCACACTGGGAGGGGACCTTCGAGGACGTACCTGGCGGCTATCACAACCAGATTCACAGATGAAAGTTCTACCGAGCATCGTCGACCTTAGAGCAGAAGAGAAGAAGAAGAAAAAGCCGAGACGAGGAAAGTAAGAACTGGTATATGTGACCGGGTAGGAGAGGAAAGTTGGCACGTATGACAAAAGGGGAGGGGGAAGGGGAAGGGGGGGGGAGAAGGAAGAGAAGAGGAAGACCCAAGGGGACACGAAGAAAGAAGAGGGTGACCCAGTACGTGAAGTAGAAAACACGTAGGATCAGGATGGAGAGAACACGCGGGCAACACCAGAACCGACAAGAGGAACACGAGAAGAAGAAGAAGAAGAAGAAGAAGAAGAAGAAAGAGTGAACAGGCAAAAACAGGACAGGAAGGAGCGGGAGGTGGATGGGGAGGAAAATCAGCACAGCACAAGGGAAAATAACAGGAGGCGTCACGCCGGAGGAGGAGGAGGAGAAAGGGAAGGAAAAGAGCAAGGAGAGGAGAAGGAGAAGAAGTAGACGCGGAATGGGGAAGAGGAGAAGGGAAGGAGGAGGAGAAGGATGAGAAGGACGAGGAGGAGAAGCATAAGAGGGAGGAGAAGGAAGATAGGGGAAGGAGGAGGAGAATGGGGAGGAGGATAAATGGGACAAGTAGGACGAGAAGCAAGAGGCAGAGGAGGAGGAGGAGGAGGAGGAGGGGTGTGATAGCACTGCTGCGCATTTGACCCCTGAACAGTGAAAAAGAATAAGAATGATGCTCCGAAGCCCCAAGAATAGGGGCTTGGACATGAAGGTCAAGGAAGGAGGAGGCGGGGGAGGAGGCGGCTTACCGCTTCTAACACCGCGATCGCTCGCTTATCACCGGTCGCATCGCCCCTCAGACCTCCCTCCCTCCCTCCCTCCCAGCGACTACAGGAGCGGAGGAGAGGAAGTGTAGGAGGAGAGGAGGAAAGGTCGGCCACAGGCGCATTGGAACAGATAGCCGTGCTGCTATCTACTCCCTCCGTCAAGTAACAAGACGAAGGGAATAATGTTGACAGGGCCAGAATCGGGACCGCCCGGCCAGTAGGAATCGTCCAAGGAAGTCTGCACGACAACGGCAGTGCCGCTACACCCGCACACATGGAAATGTCAATGTCATATTCGGGGTCTACATAAACATCCATCCATGGTCTCTCTCTCTCTCTCTCTCTCTCTCTCTCTCTCTCTCTCTCTCTCTCTCTCTCTCTCTCTCT